TAAAGTATAATAAAGTATAATAAAGTATAATAAAGTATAATAAAGTATAATAAAGTATAATAAAGTATAATAAAGTACATTAAAGTACATTAAAGTATATTAAAGTATATTAAAGTATATTAAAGTATATTAAAGTATAATAAAGTAAAATAAATATAATAAGTAAAATAAATATAATAAGTATATTAAGTATAATAAGTATAATATAATTGCAATATACAGTTTGTGAAAAAAACAAATGATCTGACAATCTAGCGAAAACGGAAAGTATAACAAAATCCGATGACTTATACTTGACGAAGTCGATCTTATTATATGTTTAATTGTTTTTTTGTTTGTAAAGTATGACATGCCTCATTTCCCAATTATGAATTTATAATTTATGAATTTATGAATTTATAATTTATGAATTTATGAATTTATGTATTTATGTATTTATGTATCTTTGAATTTATGTATCTTTATCTTTGAATTTATGTATCTTTGAATTTATGTATCTTTGAATTTATGTATCTATGAATTTATGAATCCATCCATGATCGAATCAACAATTATTAATAATTATTAACCAAAGATAACTTTAATTTAATTCAAAAGACGGGCATTTATTGATGCCCCAATATAAATATTACAGGCTTGGCATATAATTAAATGCTATGTGATATTTTTTTTTGTACTAGTGTGATGTGATGTAAGATGAAAGATAATTTCAAATATGGACATATAAAGAAATAAATAGACACAAATAAATCTATATAAACATTACTCTAAAAAAATTTAATAAATACTTGTTATTTAAACTTCTAACTTATACATCACTTATACTCTAAACCTCCACATAAATTTGCATATTATATATAAAATATAAAAATATAATAATCATTACCTTTTTCCATTGCGGTACTCTAAAATCATGTAATTTTTTTTTTTAAAGTATTGTATTTCTGCTTATCGTTATTGATGCGTAATACCTGTATTAGATAAATAAACAAATATAAACTCAGTTACTATAAATTTACAGTTGTCAGCCATGAACTTTTGATGTATTCCGATTCCCGACTTTTTCAGTTTTTTTTTCTCTCGCTCTGAAATATTCATCTGTCGCCTCTTTTTTTTTTTCTTTTTATTTTTTCTTATTATTCTTATTCCGTGTGTAGGGAGCCATCTTTACTATTTTTTTTGGTTATTCATACATGTCATGAGCGTCTTCGACACGAAACACCGGCTCTCCCTTTGAATCGATTTTTGTCTTTGAAAATTTCTTTTTTTTTTTTAAATATTTAAAAAATTTATTTTCATTCTCGGCATTTCATCTTTATCAAAAAAAATTTTTGAAGACTGCATGTAAAAGAACCTTTATGTCAAGTTTTCAAGTATTTTAATATTTTAATATATACTTCAATACATGTCGCGGTACCTTAATAGTGGTAACGCTTCTCAACAACAGTCTTATCAACAGTCTTATCAACAGTCTCATTCTATACCACCTATAAATATCATAAATATCGGAAGTAACTCTCCACCGTTGTCTACCGCAACTTCTATTTCAATAACTTCGCGTTCTCGATACGAACAACAGGAACCTTATCAGGCTTTATTCACTTCTCCTAAAATGACTACGCATCCAACTTTACCTCCCATTAGTGCTCTTTCGTGTGACTTTTTACCACCATTATTGTCTTCAAGTCAACAAGGAAGTAGTTCTTTTAATTATAGAAATCAAACAAATGTTGACAGGCAAGACCACTCACGATACATGAGTGGCGGTGGTAACGGTGGTGGTTTACTCTTAAGTTCACAGTCGGCTCCTTCCACACCTTATCCTGCGTCACCTTATCCTTCATATTTGACGTCGCCTCTACAAACTCAACCACCTCCTATTCCACAACAACCTTATTATCAATCACAGCAACCACAAAGATCCCCTCCTACATCATATTATCCTCAACAAAATTATTCGACCTCATATCCTCCAGCCTATCAACGACAATCATCGCCTTCTCCGGTTCAACCAACACGCAGGCAGCAGCATCATCCATCTCATTATGCACCTTATAGTGTACCTCAAATTTCACCACAGAATACACATACACATTCACATTCACCTTTTCCACAACAAACACAACCATCAACACATATACAACAACATGGGATTCCACCTATACGACCTTTTCAAAGAAGTCACACATCTCAAACAGTTATATCAGAACCTTTTGTAACAGTTACTCCAGAATTAAATAATAGGCCGCCTAGACGGCGTAGAAGACCACCATTTTCTTATTCATCATTAATTGCTCAAGCTATTCTGGATTCTCCGGATAGAAGATTAACTTTACGTGAAGTTTATCAATGGATAATGGAACGTTATCCACAATTATACAAAGCTGATGATACTGGTTGGCAGGTTAGTTTTTTTTTTTTATTAATAATAATATAATAATAATAATAATAATAGTAATATTAATCTATATATATTTTTTTTTATTTTTTATAAATATTTAATAATTATATTAAAAATTATAAATTCCTAAAATTATATAAATTAATAACTAATTTATAATTATATTTAATAACTTAAATAACTAAATTATAATTATAATTATATTTAATAACTAAAAATTATATTTAATAATAATTTAATAATAATAATTATTATTACATTTAATATAAATTTAAATAGAATACAATTCGTCATAATCTTTCATTGAACAAATGTTTCAAAAAGGTTCCTCGTTCAGATACGGAATTAGGACATTCAACATCATCATCAGCAGCAAGTAAAGGAAAAGGAGGTTATTGGACAATTGACCCAGAGTATATGTCAGCTTATCATGATGGTGTATTCGCAAGGGGTGGAGTACAAAAACGTAGACCTGGAGAAGTTGGTTTACATTCAGGAATTAATAATTCAGGATTAGGAGATGATGATAGTGCTGGAAGTGATACATCACCTTCGGATAGTTTGGGCGGCAGGTTGGTTGACGTGGATGATGATGGGGAGGGTAATTATCATTATCATCGTATTCATCATCATCATAATGGAAATATTAATGTTCCAAATGATCGAATACCTTCGTTACAATTATCAATACCACCAGTAATATCACCTTCATCTTCATCATCATCATTAATGACACCACCTCCAACAGCATCATCCATGATACCTAATAAACCAAAAAAAGCATTTTATAACAAAAGAAATTCATCCGAATCTAATTTTAGTAACATGGGATCACCATCACAATCACCTTCTGGTTTATCTAATTCTAGTGGGACTTCTTCGGGTAGATTTGATATATTTCATTTAGCAGACTTTTCCACGGATGTAAATAATTCGAATAGAGATATGTCACATTATTCGACTAATAATAATAAATCAGGTTCTGAGTGGAATTCGAACGAATCTTCAATAAAAAGAGAAACGATAAATATGGACATTGATCAAAAAGAAGAGGCGCGTACATTATTTTATATGGGAGGCCAACCTATGGAAAGAAATGGTTCACGAAACGTAACAGAACAACAAGTGAAGCGAGAGTCGTATCAATATGTTAAGCGAGAAGAGCGAGAAGATGAAGAATCTAATTCTTCAATGAAAATACGTGATTTATTAAATTGAAAAAAAACTTCTCAAAAAACCTCAAAAATTTGATTTTTTTTTTAATATCTATTTTTGGGACGATCCTTTTTTTAAGATTATATAATCGATGAACTATATGATTTTTAATTTTTTAATCCTTTTTTTTTTTTTTTTTTTTTTATATTAAAAAAAAAAAAAAATTATTTTACGCAATTTATTATATTCATTCGAGATAATTGAGATAAGTAATAATTAATCGAATTATTAAAATTTCTTATTTATCATTTTTTACGAAACTTCGACATCATTTTATCGTCATTTCGATTAGGCTAAAAAAAAAAAAAAGCAAAAAAAAAAAATCGCAAAAAAAAAATCAAAAAAAAATATAGCTTCGATATATTATTTCTTTGTTGTGAAATTTAAAAATATTATTTTCGTGTATATACCTTTTTTGATTGATATATATGATACATTTTTTCTTCAAAGTTTATTCTTTGATTTGTCATATACCTGTCTGATAAATTTGTTATTAATTTGTTTTTTTGGAATGGTCCAATGGTCCGTGTTTTTTTTTTTTTTTTTTTTTTTTTATTTTTTATTTTATTTTTTTTTTTTAAAAACAGGACCAACAATAAAAAAAAAAAAGAATTGTGGAAAGATATAATAACTATCTAGACTATTTGAATTACTTGCGTATCACATGTTAAAAGAGATTTATGCAAATGTTTTTTTTGGATGGATTTTCGACCATACACACATAACATACGTATATACGTAGATAGATTAATGAGATGAATAAATGAATAAACAGATAAATGGATGACATAAGCAAACTAATCTTACATTTTTTTTGGATTACCAAAGGGAAGTTTGTTGGACCTTTGTTTACATTGTGAACGTAAGCGTAAATAAAATTAAGTGCGCGAATGCGTGAAAACCAGCCTACCGTAAATATAACAAACATATTACCATTAATGGATAAATTGATTTATGTATACATAAGTACACTTTACCAAATTTCGAATTTTATCAACGCGTAATGAGAGGCGTAATGAGAACCCATTTAATTTCAAATTAATGGATTTTTTTTATTTTATTTGTACGTAACTGTTTTTTTTTTATTAAACAAAAAAAAAAAAAGAAAAAAGGAAAAAGGAAATAAAATATTTTTAGAAGTACGTGTACATGTTTGGTCATGAGAGTAATGTCGATATTGGTAATATCATTTAATACAATTATAATACAATTATAATACTATTATAATACTATAATACCATAATAATACTATAATAACTTGTAATAACGCAAATAATAATAAACACAAACACTTTAAAAAATTTTTTGAAAGGTGGCTTTAGCCACATCATAAATCGTATAGTTAATAACATAACAAACATTACCACAAAAAAAAATATGTGTAAAATGTGTAAAAAACAAACCACATGATAGTGTAAGAATTGTGCATTATAATAATAATAATAATAATAATATTTTTGGTTAACAATTATTAAAAAAAAACCTGGGCTGTTTTTTAAATAAACGCTATGCTGCGAGGATTTTCTTTATTAAACGATGTCAAATATTTTAAATACATATATCAGATACTCGATATGTATTTATTCAAAATTTTATTACTATACGTAATAGGATAACATAAGGTATAATAACGATAATACTTGATTATATATATACATTATCTGTTATTATGCTTATGTATACGATATATGTTTACGTTTACTGTGTATACAGTGTATACCGTAGCAGGTTATTGATTATTATTTGTTATTATTAAATTATTTTATTTGTTATTTCTACGTAGTAACGAAAAAAAAAATTCTTTTTTGTACAAGAACATGTGGCGGTACATTTTTCTAAAATTGTGGTTAACGTTAAAATAAAAAAAAATAACGATATATATATTAGATAAATTAAATTGAAACGAGTTCTTGTACCTGTTTTATACACATGTACATCACGAATGAAAATATATATATAGCGATAGTGTATCATTTAACCAATTACTGTATTGAATTGAATTGAATTGAATTGAATTGAATTGAATTGAATTGAATTTTTTAAAAGTGAAATTTTTGAAATGAAAATATGACGGCATGAAACATTAAACCCTTTTTTTTAGTTGAAAAGGAACTCTTCAAACAAGTAAATTAGTAATCAGTACAACTTTGTATGATGCATTTAATTTGAAAAAATTTTCGGCATTTGGCTGTTACCGAAATCAAATAACGTTACGTAATTAAAATGGAAGATAAATTCTAAAGTTCTTTGTTTTGACAATAAATGCTATTACTATAATGATTATTACTATATATAATGATTATTACTTTAATGATTATATGATTATTAATATAATGACATCTCTATAATACATTTAGAGAATGTTATAATAAACACATGAACATATAGAGAGAATGTTTTGATAATGTTTTGAAAATAATATGATAATGCGGGGTGAATATTTTTTCGGGTTCTTTGTGAGAAAAGACAAAATATTTGTTTAAGACAAATTAATTGTTTTGATGAAATAAACTTTCTCGCAAGTTGTTGGTACATACATAAAGTGAAAGCGTGAACTTTACCGTTTATTTGTGTGATACCATTATCTGCGAGAATAAATTTTGCTTATCAGTCAAATAAAAAATCAATTAATTGATATTGTTTATATTAATTTAATTAAATTAACAAATAGTAATTTGTTTGATTACATAATAGTTCAACAAATAAGAAAAAAAAAGTTAATATGTTATTTGTTCTGGTGAACGACAACATAATCCGGCAACATCACCTTAAACTAAGAGGGATAAAAAAAGGAAAGTAAACTTTGATCGACGATTTGAATAACATAAACTCTAAAATGAAACAATAACGAACAAATCTAAGGGATCTTTAAAAGTATACGTTCGGGAAAACCTTTTAACGTAAATGAAATAGTTACCCACGCGGATATTTTTTTATACTAAACCCAAATAGGTCAAAATAGGTCGCGTATTTATAATCTTAAATATCAACACGATATGCATGATAAGAAATAATAAGTATAAATTTTTATCAAAGAAAAAAATAAACAGAACGACATTTAGAATAACTTTTAGGTAAGCCCCATTAATAATCGATTTACGAATATGGAAATGCTCACGCTACACGAAAGAAAAGTTTGATGGGAAATTAAATAAACATCTCACGCGCACAAAAAAAAAATAAAATAAAAAAAATGTTTAAGTGACACAAAACAGCATTCACAATCAATATCACTGCATCACAATGGGTTCAATAACAATTTTCTATTGTTTTATCTTGGCTTGCTAGTAATTTTACAGCATATAATATATATAATATATATAGTTTGAAATTAATAATTTGATACGTATCAGATATGTGAGTACGTATTAGTTTATGATAATACGTAGTTTATGATAATAATTTATAATAATTTATGGTAATTTGTTATCCATTTTATTTATTAATTAATATTTTATTTATTCATTTATATTTTATCCATTTTTATTTATTCATTTATATTTTATCCATTTTATTTATCCATTTATATTTTATTCATTTACGTAGATTATTTATTTGACGCAGTAATTTTATTTAGTATATAGTTTAATTTGTAATTTAATAATTTTTTAATTTATTTTATTTTTTAATTTATTTTATTTTTTAGTTTATTTGATTTTTTAGTTATTTGATTAGTTTAGTTTATTTGACGTAGATTAATCAACATAATAATCAACATAAGATTTTAAGTTAAGTTTATAAAAAAATTATCTTTATTTATGGCAAGGATACAATCAGGTATAGACCAGGATCAGAGATTTTTTTAATCAAAGATTTTAAAGTAAAACAAAGAATACAAAGACAAGATTGATGATACGTGTTTCAGAAACACTTGATCCAAAAACAGTATGAAAATACCTTAAATTTTAGGTACATCAAACACATCGGGCTTCACGTCATGCGATGTAAACGCGCCAACCTTCCAAGTTGGATTGTTTAAATGATCATCGAAACTAAAACTAAATCAAAATTAAAACCAAACTAAAATCAAAATAAATTCAAACTGACAATCAAAAATCAAAATAGCCCAAAATCCAAATGTGGTAATTCCAAACCCCTTACCTTGGCGAAGTTATGAACACTTGAACAAACAAACATTTTTTTTTTATTAAAAACAAAATTTATGAAAAATTTTCATTTAAACGAGTGAATCCACCACATGATACCAAACATTTATAAAACAAATGATGTAATACTGTTAATGAATACTATTAATGAATAATGAATACTATTAATGAATACTATTAATGAATAATGAATACTATTAATGAATAATGAATACTGTAATGAATAATGAATGAAAATTGAAAACGATTACATTTATGTATCTCCGACTAAATGTGTGTATAGATTAAAATATTGTATATTGATATCGATTAAATGCGTGTATCGAATAACAGATTAATAGATTAATCCTGTAATAGATTAATACGTATATTGACGAATACAGTATATCCCAACTAAATGTGTATTAGAATGTGTATTAGATTTGTGTATTAGATTTGTGTATAGAATGTGTATAGATTAAATACAGTAGATTAAATAGATTAAATAGATTAAATACAGTATATTGACTACGTACGTACGTACGTACGTAAATAATACAGTGTTTTGACTACGTACGTAAATAATACAGTATCTGGTATATTGAATACGTACGTAAATAATACAGTATCTGGTATATCGACTAAATGTTCGATAATAAACGATGTGCAAAAATAAATAAATAAACACTAATCAATACAAAAATATAATAAATATTAATTAACTATCCTTAACTTAGATAATTAGGTTTTTTTAAACGAACTAAACTATTCTCCGATAAGCTAAATGATTTACCAACTAATTATTTATACATAATGGCGGAGGCTGTTTATATTTTAATTAATGCATACAATGAGTCCCTCTTCCGGATTTAACAGGCTATAATAAGCAAACGTATTGATTGATACGTATTATGTTCT